TGTTTGAATCGTTTGCAGAGCTTTGAAACTCTTTTCTGGTTCACAGCAAAATAAGAGATGTGATTTCCCTTTTATCTTCATTAGAGGATTAGTGAGCTGCAGAGTGCCCATTTGTCCACCCCCAAGGAAATGCCTTCAAATAATGGAAGCCTCTCAGGAAAGTGATATGAAAGGATGAGGAAGAAAGATAGGATGAACACCAATGTAGCACTTGGACCATCCCCAAATAAAACAATTCAAAGCACTGGGCAGCTTCAAATATTCCAGAGCAGAGTCAGAAAGAAACAAGTGGAGCTCCCTCATACAACCATTGCTGTGGGTGGGATGAAGAGACCAGGAATTGCTTCTGCTTTTGTGCAGAATCTTGGCATGCAGATTGGACAGCTACCAGAGAACAAAGGGAACTTCACAACATAATGTACATCACAACATAAATGATGTACATTTTATAGATTGTTCACTAACACCATAAAACATGGCATCATCATGGCTTGTACCATGTGCATGGAAGTACCTTAAAGCTACCTAAGATAATGCATAGGATTGTATTAGTGTAGCCTTGTGAACTGATATTTTAGAGCGAGAACTTTGTACATTGAATGATTAATAGAAACAGGGATAAAATATGTTTAGTAACATCATTATGTAAGTATGTCAACAGTACCTGATTGAAAGTATTCTTCAGAGAATCAATCTCTGAATTTTACAGAGGTTGACTTCATGAAATAGATAGTACCACTTAGATTGTAGCAGAGCTCCATCTAGTGTTTAGTCGCACTGGAAAAATTGATTTAAGATTACACCACTTGTTTTGTTAATATAAAGTCTCTTCCAGTTTATTTTTCTAGTTTGCATTTGGAGCATTTAAATTCTCTGCTCACAAACTGGTCCACAAAAGACACAATTGGTAGTACCTTGTTGATCTTGAAAAAGCCAAACAAGTATAACAATTTTCAATTCTGGTTCATTGATTTTTTCAGAGAGAAGGAAAGGGAAATAGAGACAATATCCTAAAGGTGATGAGGGATGCTATTTGCTTCTCAACCAGTCCAGAGGTGGTATTCAGCAGGTTCTGACCAGTTCTGGAGAACCAGTAGCAGAAATTTTGAGTAGTTCGGAGAACTCATAAACACCATCTCTGACTGGCCCCGCCCCCATCTATTCTCTGCCTCTCGAGTCCCAGCTGATCAGGAGGAAATGGGGATTTTGCAGTAACCTTCCTCTGCCATGCCCACCAAGCCACACCCACCAAACTGGTAGTAAAAAAAAAATTGAATCCCACTACTGCACCAATCCCACACAAAAGCTTTACTGTATGGGACAAACTTTAAAAGAGGAAGAAGCATAAGGGAAAATGCTTTACATGTCTGAAATTTTTCTTTGTTTTGTTTTTTGTTTTGCCCCAAAAATGAACTGGAACAGTATCAGATTGTCTTTCAACCCTATTTGTTAGAATAGTTAGCAGTGTTAACTATTTAACGCTGCTTTATTTAAGTTAGCAGTGTTAATTATAGTTAGCACTCCTTACTTGGGAGTAAGGAAGCAATTGACCACTGGATGGCTTGACACAACTTTGGATGAGGGAGGGAGCAAGAAGATCCTTGGGCAAAAAGAGTAGGGTTAATCGGTATTGTTGCCTGTTAGTTTTAGATTATTACCTTTGAAATATTTAAGCTTTTAGGCAAGATTGCAAAGGCTGCAAAACATTCTTTTCTGGAAATGTGCAATCTTGCTTCAAAAGCACATGTGAAATGCATTTCAGAGTAATCTTGGAGAATCATGAGCCAGATGGTAGCAGTTAGATTTTTTTTTAAAAAAAAACTTTGCATATTACAAATACTTTGGGAAACATTGGAGTTGTTTTTCCTTTTCTCATATAGACGCACAGTATAATTATTTTTTTAGCTGAAATTTCAATAAAGAAGGAAACACACGCACACGTACAAAGCAACCATCAGTTTCAAATTATCTCTGAATTTTAAAGATCCCATAATTAATGCTGCATGCAGGATGTATGTGTCAAAAAAATTAGGATGACAGCCACAAGCATGTAATTGAAGTATCACTTTTTAATTTGTGTCATGACACAAGAAACTGTCAGAAGATTGTTTTAGAGTTTTTCAGAGAAAAGCTAAATGGCTATTTTTCTGGGAAAAGCCATGAAGATTTTACAAAAGTGCATATAGTTAACAACTGAAACCACCACAAAAATGTGGGAAAGTTTTCCCAGGTATTCACAAATCCCTCAAAATGCATGTTCGGAATTGATTTTCTGATCCAAATTTGAAAGCCTGGCCCTGTGATATTTATTATTCAGTTTTCATGCCACTCATCTCTCTGAGCAGCTTACAAAATATAATTCTCCCATGTAGTTTTCTTGGCAGGAATGCACAAAACACTGTCTCCTTCTGTTTTCTTTTTTCAAAATTTCAGTTCCAGCCTTCAGGTCAGGATGTCTGGATGGTCGATTATTTAAGCACTCTGCTAAGCTTCCAGTTTCAGACAAATTTGGCCAAATGCTGTTACTTACTTGAAGGAACACCTGTTTTTCCTTGACCTGACTCATATATTTATTAAAACTTTCTTCTCCAGGTTTCCCCACAATTCAATAGGTACTATCTTAAAATGGATAAACCCAAAGGTGTTTCCTAGAGTGCACTGTAATACTTTTTAGGTGCCAACCATCACATTTTATGTTCATAGTGGTGATGATGGGAGTGGTCCATCCAATTGGACGGATTTGGAAATAATCCAGTTTTTTGACTGTGGCAGAACAATACAGATGAAGAGCAGGCTAGGACACCAGCTGTCCATGTCACAGTTGGGTTGAACTATCATAACAAAACATTTTCTTTTGTTCTGTATTATGTCTATGGAGATTTTCAGTCAGCCAGGTTATGGTTGTCTCAAAGGTGCTTTTTCAGAAGGCAAAGGGACTTTATTTTTTGCTTTAAGATGTTTTGCTTCTCATCCAAGAAACCTCTTAAGTTCTTAATGATGGTGGAAAATTTATTTATACTCGTTGCAGTCATCTGGTTAGCATTTTTTCTGAGCCATACTGGCATAGTGGTTAGAATGCATAGGGCAGGCTACTTCTGTTGACTGTCAACTGCCAAGAATTCTCGCCTCAAAATTGACTCAGCCTTCAGTCCTTCCAAGAACCCAGATTGTTGGGAGCAATATGCTGACTCTTTAAACCACCATCTCCACCATAATTCAGAACCAGACGTTTTCTTGGGTGAGAAGCAAAACGTCAAGCAAAAAATACAAAGTCAAGTTGCCTTTTGAAAAAGCAACTTTAGGACTTTTGTTCTGTATTAGTTTTTCATTCTTATCTCACTTATACATTGGTGCTGTTGTTAACATATCTGTCTCACAGGCCTGCTTGTTTGATTGAATGTGGTCTTCAAGGAAAATGGTTCACTACTTCATCTACAATTATCTGCCCAAATTTTAATCTGCTGGTCTCAAAGACCGCTTGGAATATGTCAATACTGTACTCCTGTTTCAATTTATAGTCCTTGAACTCTGTTCAACAACAAATCACTTCAGGATGATAAAAACACCCACCCCAAGTTGATGAAAAACTGTGGCAATTTTGCCAAGATTTTCATTCATCTTTTTAATACATTATAATGTATTCAGGAGACTTGCCATGGAACACCTTCAGTGAAAAGATGTGCATAGAGTATGAGCAATAGACCTCAACCCAAGTATAACTTTTATACAAAATTGTACAGCAGAAAATGTATTATCAGCCCACCTGTCTACAAGGCCTTATAGGTCAGGGATTCAGGCCATTTCCAAAGAGTATTGGATTTCTTTTTGCACTGTCAGGTAATCTTTTGCCCATGCTACTGAATGTGCTTGGAATCCTGCCATTTGGTTGGTTTTGAAACTTCCTACACAAATACCTCTGATTAGCATGTGCATCTCAGAAAAGCTGTTTCCACCAAAAAGAGGAAAATACAAAAATAGCCACTTCACAAACCTTTGTGTAATTCAGTTGCAGAGATGATTTTTTTAAAAAGAAAAAGTATTTGATGGCTGGATTCCAATAGGCTTTTCCCAGAAATATTGGAATGTGTAGTATGGATTGAAGGGAAAGAGCTTAGGGATCTCCGCCCAAGGAAAACAGATGGATAACCCAACACATTCCATATGTGCATGTATCCAATTACCGTATAATTTCTTGAACTTTGTGTGTTCTTTTTTTATTACAGGGATTTTGGGGTGTTGTATTTTGAGATGCCTAACAGGTTTTAGGATACATTTTACCTAAACATTTATTATATACATATGCAAGCTATTTTCTTTCTGGGTGAAATCATAGACATACCCCTCTGGCAGAGTCAAGCAACAGTTTTGTAACTGGGAAAGCAATTTTTATGTAAAAGAGATAAGGAGACCCAATTCTGTCTTAATTTGATCTCCCTGCTTTTCCTCTCATTTTTCTATTATCAAATGGCTGACACTTTTGATGGTTTTTCCATTGAATTACTGAGAGGCAGCATAGTCTGCAAAAATGAGAAACTACATGATTTCCAAGGTTGTCCACTGTTATTCTAAGCAATACATCATATTGAAATATTTTACTCAACTGACACCAAAATGACAGAGAACAAAATAGAAGAGAGTAGATGAGGAATATGGAGTAGTTTGACAGAACATGTAAGGGAATATAAATATAAACAAGCAAGCAAGCAGGTTAACTCATGATTTCACCCCCATTCAAGATACTTTAGGATGATAAATGTAAGTCTGACTGCAAGGGCATTTTGACTTGGACATCCTGAATCATCCTTGCCCTGACCAGATATTGAACATGGAGCTTCATCATAACTTTTGACACAGAATAGGTTGAGTTGGCCTCATTTGCTCTGCCTCAAGCAGATCACATCTGCCTTGAATTGATTAGCGAACTGGAACAGCCCTGCTTTAGACTACTGAAATTCGAACATATGAACCAGGAAAGATATGAACAAGAAGAGATTGCTACATTAAGTTGATTCTTGTATTTTTATTATTATTTTAAATCTTCAGATTTTTCTGCCATGAGACAGGAATGCATGATAGACAGAATGGCTCAAACATCTTCACATGACACACTCAAATCATATTTCATTCACAATTTTACCCTAAAACATTTACAGTTAACATAATCCCACCCATTTCTATTATCACAGATTTAATTATTTATTGAACAGTAGTTGCCAGCAATCAAAAATTGTAAGGCTTTTTTTTCCTTTTCTCTTTTTTTTGGCATTAAAAAAATCTGTTAATCTATAACATGAGGAAAATCACAACTAATTCTCACTTTATATGGCAACCTCAAGATAATAGATAAATCCAAACAAAATGCTCTGTTTTTGTGTTACTCACTGAGGATAAGTTCTACAATCCATGTCATGTTAACTAAAATTACTAGAGCTATTTTACCTTACTATGTTTTTAAAAGCTGCATTATTCAGTTAATCTCTCCCTGTAGAATAGAGTAGAACAAAAAAATGGGGGAGAATGTTTAATGAATCCCCTTTCTCCCTCTTTTCCTCCATCTATTATGGGTGGTTATAGAACTCACTGAAGCAGACCAGAAATTGTACATCACTGAAAATGGGCCTCCTCCTTTGCAGATAGATGCCTCTTTTCCAAAGGAATCCATTATCTTGATGCAGTATTTGTATTCGTATTGCCCACAGGGACTATTTGGCAAAGTGGCCAATCATACACTGGAGCATTTAACAGTACAGCTTTTTAGATAAAGCAAAAGAGAGCAGTTGCTTGGAATTCACATCGTGGTTTCTGAAGATAATTATGTTGAGGTTTTCCGGAATGGATGTAAACAAAGATGTATGTGCACCTGTATGTATCTGTATGTGACAGTCTTTATGTTCCTTGGGAGTCCACATCAATTGTTAATGTTTCCACTGATGAATAGTGTAGTTTACATACCTGATCTGTAGTATTTACTCCTGAGAAGTTAATAGAAGGGAATGACAGTTCTGATGCACTTTGGAATGGCACATTCACGTAAACGCTTGCACGCTTAAGACTTAACAAAGGTTTCTAAACACAACTTCTAAATAAGGTCTAAAATATCAGCACAATTTAAAAAAATCCTATGTAAGTAAAATATAAAGTAGGATGTTTTTCAACAAACGTTTAAACAGGAAAACCTAGGTATTTAAGAAAAAATGTAGCTGATGCATTTTTTTAAAAAAAAGGTATTTTTATCACATACTAAAATGCCATGATATCCCATAACTGGCCAGGTCCAGCTATCTCTGAGCTGCACGGCTTACAAAATTGGACAATAGAAAAAAGAAACACAGAGATAGAGAAAAAAAATTCAAAAATAGCCAACATTATCCAAGAAAATGGGGCATTTATATTACAGCTATTAAAAAGATGGCTGTAAAAAAGTCTATGTGAAAATTCCTTATTTTAAGGTTATTCCTAATTTTTTAAGTAATTGAATCAATCATTACATAACTCCCAAGCATTAGATTTCATAGCTTAATGCTATTTCTCTAATATTTAATCTCTTATTGACAGTACTAATTGTATCTGAAGGTCAGATTTGAACTTGAGAATTAAAACATTTATCTTAATGAAGTTAAGTCAGTTTGCATTATAGTCACAGTTGGTGTTCTTGAATTTTAATATGTCAATGCAAGTAGTTCCTTGAAATTACGTATAGCAGTCATTGGGTAGAAAACTAAGCAGAAGTTGCCATCTTAATTTGGTTCTTTTAAGATCTATTATCATGGAACAAACAGAAGTATACTTTAATATGAGTTGTCTTAGGACAATCAGCAACCAAAGTAGCGGCTAGTAAGATTTGCTAGTTTTAGAAAATTGCATAGGTATTAATCAAGAAGGCAGTAAGCACAGCACTGTATGTGCCATTATGGTGTTGTGTTATTCTCCTCTCCTTCTCTTTTTAATGTAAAAAAAGAAAGGAGAGCTTCTTGAAGGGTTTTCATCAGGGTTACATTACATAGCAGGTATATTATTACCTAATGCTTCTGAATATAGTTCTTTCCCACAATATTCTCTACCTGCTTTTCTCAGTGAACTCTTCCTTAGTTATTTGTATCATGCCTCTTTCTCATAGCAATTTCAGAATTATATTTAACCTAAGATAACATTCTAGTTTTCTATTTAGCACTTGACTAGAACTGTCAAAACGAGTCCTTACAATAATCCAAATAGAAGTAGATCAAACTAACAAGCCTTCCACAGAAACTTGAGTGCTCCATGTCAGAGCTGCTTCCCTTCCTTACTTGAACCCTCTTTTTTTTTTTTTTTTTTTACAAAACAATGTGCACGGAGAGAAACTATCTAAAGATCATCTTGAGCTTCAAGTTGATAAGACACTGGAGAGTTTTCCTGCTGATCTTTGATAACAGTGGATTCACTCGGTTCCTCACTCATTTCACTAGATGGTTCTTCACAATTTGGCTCTCCTGGATCCAGACTGCTTCCCTCACTTTGCTCCTCATTCTGCTCTTCATTGGTCTTCACAGTATGTTCCACGTCACTCTCGAAGGACGGTGAAAAGCCATCCATTAAATTTTCACTGGCTGCCAGTTCATCCAAGGGTTGAATAAGGGATACAGGGATGCTTGGATGTGTAAAGCTGTCTCTGGCAGTTATAGGCACTTTGTTTGTGGCCATTTCTACAGCAGTATCATTTTGTGGCAAAGTTGCTTTCTCAACAAGTCTCCACTGAATGATACTCATATCTTTGCCTCCAGTTGAAATTAAATGACTATCATTATGAGAGAAACTGACATTTGTTACATGACTACTATGGGCACTATATTTATGACTTGGAGCCTGTTAACACAAATAAAAAACAACAACATTGTTAAGATCAAGCCATACATCAAACATGATTAACTCAACTTCCAATCACATATATTTAACTAGGAAAATATACATCTTATCTTTCCAATGCATTGTAAATTTTAGCAAAGTACACATTTTCCCAAAATATAAATCATTACAATCTCAAACATGAATTCTATCGAAGTGTAATGCTACCGGTCACTTTGCCATCTATAAATATTCAAACAATAGATTTTACTTATAGAATAAGTGTGCAAGTTTCACAGGAAAGGGGTTAGTCCCATTCTTCTTGTAAATAACCCTGTTATAGGAGTGGGGAAGCTGCTAACCAAAATAATTGGTTTGCATTTTCCAGCAATCCTGGAAATCATTGGGTGTCCAACAGTCACTGGTTGCAATTGAAGTGAATTTGCATAGCACCAGAGACTGCTGAGACAAACAGCTCACAGCAACTTCAAGACAAAACAGGTAGGCTGAAAGGGAATATCTATTTGCAATGACTCTCTGAAATTACCCATTGTGAAGGCGGCTGACCTTCTGACCAGAAAACATCAGTAGTTCATCCTTGATAAATGCTTATGTGATTGTAATTTTATTTTAGAATGTCTGGCTTAGTTCAGTGCAACACTTGCTTTGCAGCTGTCTTTCGTGGTACTCTTTTTAAATTTGGATGCTATGCTATTGTAAGCAGATTGCTAGTTTACATGGTTAGATTGCTTATCTTGAGTCTTTAGTTTGTGCTCTTCAGGCTGAAATTAGATAGCCAATTCAGCTGGTGTGTTTTATCACCCCCACCAACGCTTACTACAAAGACCCTCCATGAGAAGGGTAGTAGGGACAATTATTGTATCTGGCCAGAGTGAGATTTGTGGATCATATGTAGAGCTGTGGACAATCACTTAAATGTGAGCAGTAATGTGTTGCACTTATAAAAAAAGCTAACAAAAGTCCTAAGGGTGCATTAACAGAAAGATAGAATCAAGATCATGTGAAGTTTTAGTACCAGTTTATAATGCCCTGGTAAAAAATCACACTTTTGTTTTGGTTGCCACAATATAAAAAGATGTGGAGACTCTACAAAGAGTGCAGAGAAGAGGAACTAAAATGATTAGGGAACTGGAGGCTAAAACATATGTAAAATGGTTGCAGATATTGGGTATGTCTACTTTAATTAAAAGAAGGAATAGGAGTGGTAATAGCAATATTACCAATATCTAAGGGACTGCCACAAAGAAGAGGGGGTCAACTTATTCTCCAAAGCATCTTGAAGCAATGAATGGAAAGTAATCCAGGAGACAACCAACGTAGAACTAAGGAGAAATTTCCTGACACTTAGAACAATTCATCAGTGGAAAAACTTGCCTCCAAAAGTTGTGGGTGTTGGAATACTGGAGTTTTAAAAAGAGATTGGACAATTATTTTTCTCAAATGGGATATGGTTCCCTGCTTTGAGCAGTGGGTTGGTCTAGAAGACCTCCAAAGTCCTTTATTATTCTGAGCTGTGATGGTGCAATGGTTAGAATGTAGTACTGCAGGCTAATGCTGCTGACTGCCTGCTGCTAGCAGTTCGTCAATTCGATTCTCACTAGCTCAAGGCTGACTCAGCCTTCCATCCTTCTCAGGTCTGTAAAATGAGGAGCCAGATTGTTGTTGTTCGGGGCAATATGCTGACTCTGTAAACCACTTAGAGAGGGCTGTAAAGCACTGTGAGGAGGTATATTAGTCTAAGTGCTATTGCTATTATTATTCTATTTTCCTAGTAAACTAAATCATAAAATTTCTGTTCTGTCCTTTCACTGCAATCACTGTGCTGTCTACAGCTTAAAAACTACAAGTAGATATGAAATTAAAAAGAAAATGTAGTGAGAGAGTAGTAACTTAAACATTATACCTCCAGGTGACCAATCTAGTAAGGCAAAGGGGCAGATTTTTTTTCTAAGTTATATTTCACCATATTCACCAACAATAACTGTTATGGGAAATTTGGTGCATAGTGTTATTTTTACAAGAATACATAGCCATATATTTAGTATAATATACAACCTCTTTCTTCTCATTTCTGCTCTAAAACATTGCCCCTAAACTTACCTTTGCTTTGGAACAGGGATATTGAAATAGATGGACTTTACAAAAGTCATCAGCCACAGCTATCACTTTCCTATTATGGGACCTCACAAGGGCATTTATATCTGTTCCATCTGATCCTTCTGGCCACACTCCTTCATTATATAAGCACAAAAGAAAAAAAAATGTTACTAAAACAAGGGGTAAACACAGAGACTTATAGCTCTCAAGATGTTGAACTCCAATTCCTATCGGCCTTAGTCATCTGATAATTCTAAATGGTTACAAATTCTCTATTGGTTAGAAGAATTTTAAGAGATTAGCCATCCATTTAGAATACATCAATCAAAACTAAATAAACCAATGTATAATAATTGTCCTAGAAATACAATCTCTCCTATGTGTATGAGAAAAGACAAATGCTTTAGCTGACATGACAGAACCAAATTTAAAAATATTTTCTAAGTTCTTTTATTACTTTAATAAGCAACAAAGAAAAAAACAATATTATTGCCCAAATTTAGGAGGCACATTTTTAAATAATTGAAATATATTAAGATAATAATGGAATGAATGAATTGAAGCCTTAAATCAAATGCAGATATAATGACAAATGTTTAATCTTTTCTTATCAGTGTTTTCTTACCTGGATAACATTAAGATGTGTGGAGCTCATCTTGCAGAATTATTAGCCACAGAATGCTGACTAGGAATTCTGGGAGCTGAAATCCGCACATCTTAAAATTACCCAGTTGGGAACCCTATTTCTTATGACAACAAAGGAAAAGTTATATGCACAGACCTATGCCAAGTGACAAAATATATACAGGGAAATAACCTCAACATATACTTGTATTCAACCTCAGGTAACTTGTACAAAAAGCTGAGGTTTGTGTTGTGACATTGTGATAATAATTACATAATTATTTGCTAATAATTTGATTTGTAGTAGATGCTTATGGAATTTAACAATTTCCCCTTAGATTATATTTAATGAAAAAGAAAACACTGGAATGATTTTATTTACAAAGTCAATTTAAAGAAACAACAACAAAATAGTTAAAACACTCTATGAATGGTGTAATCTTTGTATTTTCCAGAGTAGACTGATTTTAAACTTAAGAATAACAATTAAATAGGAATATAGTACTCACCAAATACCTGAAACCCCAGCACACAAGTATATGTTGTCCAATCTATGTCCTTACAATCAGAGCGGTTCCTTATCAGTTTACAGCCATTTGGAATGTCCCCTTTATAAAAATACATAACTGGTATTGAAATAACTATTTATAATTTCCAATTGTATCCTATTTTTCAATCCCTAAGGTTCTCAAAGTAACTCTCAGAACAAAAACACCGAGAAACATAAAGCAATTAAAACCCAGTTAAAAGCAACAAATAATCATTATCATTCCAATTCAAAAGAGCTGCTTGAAATGAAATGCCATGTGCCCAAAGAGAGAGAAATGGTAAATCTGTGGAAGGAATTTATTCCATATCTTGGAAACAATAGAAGGTCCTCTCCTCTATGCCTAAACATGGGTCTCTGAAATTGGCAGCATTTTTAACAAACAACAGATAAGTAACAGATTAACAGAGTTGGAAGGGACCTTGCAAGTCATCTAGTCCAACTCTCTGCCCAAGTAGGAGACCCTACATCTGCCTCTACCTAGGACAGAGGTTCTTCTGTCCACTTCTGTGTCTGGACAGCCTCAAACTATAATTATATAGTTTGTACTGTATATAATTATATAGTAAAATAATATTACTGTGAGATTTGTTTTATCTATCTATCTATCTATCTATCTATCTATCTATCTATCTATCTATCTATCTATCTATCTATCTATCTATTAAAAAGCTAAATAAAAACTGTCAAATATTTTGAGTTTGAGTAACTGTTGTTTAAATGGGTTTACAAGCAGAGTATGTTGCAAATTTAAAGTTTTTCACTATGCTATCCTTTGTTATTTAGGTATTGCAAGCATTTGTTCTCCAAAGCAATGGTGGTCAAAAAAATTATTCTACATTTCATGTATTATATTAAATAAGGATTCAAAGATACAATGGAAATAAAATCTAAATACTGAACTATCTTTTACTGTAGGAAAAATAAAAGGCTAAATAGTGGCTTTATGGTTTTGTTTTTTTTTATAAAAAAGAACATTTTTTAAAATAATAAATAATGCTTATATAGGTAGTCCTCTGCTTGCAACGGTTCATTTAGTGACCATTTAAAGTTACAACAGCTTTGAAAAAAGTGACATGACCATTTTTCATAAAATTCTTGGGAACTGACTCATATTTATGATGGTTGCAGTGTTCCAGAGTCATGTGATCACCCTTTGTGACCGTCTGACAAGTGAAGTCAATGGGGAAACCATATTCACTTAACAACTGTGTTACTAGCTTAACAACTGCTAGTATTATGGCAAGAAAAGTTGTAAAATGGGGGAAAACCCATTTAACAAATGCCTCACTTAACAACAGAAATTTTGGGTTCAATTGTGGTCACACGTTGAGAACTACCTGTAGTTCACATTATAAACCAATAGCTTGAAAGTCCGAGAATTAGGGGTGACACAATCATGTTAATATAAAGTCAACAATTTCAGCAGACTGGTATATATAATTATCTGCATATGCTACATTCCGGTGCAACATGAATGAGTTTTTCTTTTTTCTCTTTCTGATGAATAAAGAAAGAATAAAGAATTCACATGTCTTGAAAATTTGGGTCCTAGCAACTTTAACTTACATTTTAGACTATACAACTGTTTGCCAACAATAGGTGCTAATAAAATGTAAATTCATAGTGACTGACAGAGATAAAATTTTAAACATTCCTTCTCTTTGAATTTTTATCCATTGATTCATTCAATAGCTTTAGACATATTGATGTAATTTTATTTCTATACAAATGAATTTCACATTATTACTATAAAAAAAGAAAAGCCTCCAAAGACACTTTTCAGTGACATTTATGCATGAAGCTTTTTATGCTATCTCTATGCTTAAATGGATCAGGATGGACAGATGTTATTACTTTAAAGCTCTGTTATAAAGGAGCCCTGGTGGCGCGGATAGAATGCAATGTTGTAGGCTAACGCTCCACATAGCCTGGAGTTTGATCCTGGCAGGCTGAAGGTTGACTCAGCCTTTCATCCTGCTGAGGTCAGTAAAATGAGGGCCTATATTGTTGGGGGCAATATGCTGACATTGTAAACTGCACAGAGTGTGCTGTAAATGTAAAGCACTATGGGGTAGTAGATACCGTATTTTCCGGCGTATAAGATGACTTTTTAACCCCAAAAATTATTACAAAAATTGGGGGTCGTCTTATACACCATACCAAAAAATCAAAAGAAAAGAAAAAGCAATGCCACCAAGCAAAAAGCCACACCACCACCAGCGCAGACGCCGGCCTTTCAATCGATAACCTCGGCACTCCTCGCCTGGGCACATGGATGGATCAGCGCTGGGATGGCTTAGTAAGGTCTGGCTGGCGGTCTGGAGGAGGAAGGTGCTGAGCTCAAACTATGAAAGCCCGGCACTGGGGAGGCCTTCAGCTGGCTCGCAAGCACCTGAAAGTAGGGGGTCATCTTATACAGTCGCCTTATAAGGCGGAATATACAGTAAATCTAAGTGCTTTTGTTATATGCCATAGGTCCAGGTTACCTGTGAGACTGATTCTACCTACAGAATCTAGCTCTCCTACCAAATCAGATAGTGTCTGTCCATTTCTAATCCCTTCCCTTAAGCAATGTCATTTTAGAGATCTAAGAAGTTTGCATTTCTGTGCCAGCCTATTTCCTATCAAATACCCTTCACTTTGAAGTTTTGCAGCCCTCTACCTTCTTAACATTTGGCTTTCCCTCCCACGCCTTGAGATAGGGACAGGTGGTAAAGGATTAAATGAGGGACTGCATGTGGAAGCTTAACGTTAGTTTCAGGGTTTTAATGTTTATGGTTTTAATCATGTGTTGTTTTGTGTGCAGATGTTGTTTTAATTGTTGATCAGCCGCCGCCCAGATTTTGATATAAGATGGGCAGCTATATGCAGCTTTTAAATAAATAAATATATGGAAATAATTAAAATTACTGTTAATAGTAAGACAAGCCATGTTCAAATTGAACTTGACTCCTGCTAGTTATGTAGATGCATGCATGATTTCTTGGCAAGATAGCCATTGCCTTCTTTTGGAATTATTATTTTTTTGCTAGAACAATCTAGCAATCTTCAATTTACAGTTAAAAGCAGGAACACTTGAATGAAATAGTTTTATAATTTGTATGCAAATCCACTTTAAATTGGGCCAGAATTGAATAACTCATATCCTGCATGTGTTTCATATGCCATTATTCTTTACTACTACAGAGTAACAATTTATAAAAGACAGCAGAGATGTCTATAGAACCAGGGGGACTCTTCATAAGAGTTTATTGTTACCTCACTGTTATTCAGTCTTATTTTGATTAGTAATGTTCATATCCTGGATAGCTCCAAGCTCATTTCAAGTATACCACCATTGTTTAAGATATTTTAAGTTAATTTTGTCTTTCAGGTCTATAGTAAGCATTATTTTGGTAATCTAAAAGAAAACCCTACAAAGTTGCGACAATATGGCTGAATGTAGCCTGCCAGTCATGGGTTTTCCTAGGTTAGGTATCCCAAATGTGCAACAATACCAAAAGGTTTTACTACCTTTGGGCTAGGGAAAATAATTTGTTTGGTAGGTCTAATGAACATGGAACATTTTTAATTCTTAAAGTTTCCTAAAATAAAAGAATATTAATAGTGCTAAAATAATTACTTTAACTATTATATCAATAAAGAAGAAATTTGATCAAGCAAACATACCTAATACTTTCAAGCTATAAATTATACTCTGACATCTGACATACTCTGATATAAAATTAACACAATTAATACAATACAATAGCAGAGTTGGAAGGGACCTTTGAGGTCTTCTAGTCCAACTCCCTGCCTAGGCAGTAAACCTTATACAGTTTCAGACAATTTTTAAAAAAATTTCAAAACAAACACAACACATAAAATCTTCCTTCTTTACATACTGTAGAAAGTGTATCAGTTGGTTACAAAATGCTTTCTTACATCTCTTCCACAGTCATCAAGCATAATTCATATTAACTCAAGTATTTTAACTCAGATATTTATACATGTTACCCTTATCATACCTCCATTTTTATTTGACTATAATTGTTTAAACATCCATCATAAAATATACCAAGATTTAATACATAACCACATACTGGGATTTCATTTAATATTTCTAAAATCCCCCAATAACACTGAATCCTTATGTCCTATTCTAGCTAAACATCCATAATATTTAATAACAAAGTTTTCTAATCATCCTTTCCAAATCACTGCTTGCAATTTTCACCCAGTTTCCTTATGTTGTACCCATACATATATATATATAGGTTGTCATCATTATCCCTCTTTTATTTGATTGTATCCTGTATCATAACATTTTCCCCCTAATAATCAAAACTTAATTGTTTCTAACTTAGTTCTTTTTTATTAAGCTTTGTATATAATCCAAAAGGATTTCTAATCTTCCTTTCATGGGTACCATTCAATATTCATATCCATTTTTACTTATCGTAACACTACACATTGTATACATTATTATCATTACCAATTATTTATTTAACTATATCTATTATCGCTAAATTTCACTAAGTTTAACTAGTTTATTCCCAAGCAACTTAGAACTGGGGAGAAATTCCCTGACAGTTAGAACAATTAATCAGTGGAACAGCTTGCCTTCAGAAGTTGTGAATGCCCCAACACTGGAAGTCTTTAAGATGATGTTGGATAGCCATTTGTCTGAAAGATTATAGGGTTTCCTGCCTAGGCAAGGGGTTGGACTAGAAGACCTCCAAGGTCCCTTCCAACTCTGCTATTGTATTACTGTATCTCATATCTCAGCACCTCTTTCATAAAGTGTTAATTGATGCCTTTGCAGAGAAGGAGCTATATTTGGAATTAACATTAAGAACAAAATAACTTTGAATAATATGGAAGATCAGGTTATAGAAGGTCAATTATCCTCTGTCAACAGGCATTCGATGTACTGCAAAAAAATTTCTTATGATTCTTAGCATTTTTCTACTATGGAAATAATTGCAATTTTATACTCACAGTATAATATTTCATAATCTCCTGAGTTGGACATTATGTATTTGTTTTCTGGGGACCAATCAAGATGTGTAATATAGCTGGAATGTCCCTAAAATACATATAAACAAAAAAAGATAAAGAAGCTGTCAAAATTCCAGTTAAAACAGTGATTTTTACCTTTTATCTTCCCTTTAAAATGTTCAAATAAACAAATCGATATGGTAGTTTATAAAACTAATCCGCCAAGTTCGTAATTTGATGGGAATGAACTAGAAGTCCATGAATGGATTTCAATTACCATAAATCCCAGTCAGCCCTGTTGAAATTTAAGCATATGGCAGACAGATGCAAATCCCTGCTTTAATCATTTCATTGTGTGAGCTTCTTCCTTCTCAAGTGCAGTGATTTCCCTATACATAACTGATTTCATAGCAAAAACAAATCTATCTGTCAATCACAAGTGAACTTGGGCAAACAAGATTTGTATGAAATGGAAGGCTACAATTTACCCTTCGACTGAAAGGGTGGATATGCAATAACATAAATGTTCTTTGTGAGCAGTTATGTATAGACCTTGTTTCATGCCAAGGATAATAGGATGCCAAATTCAACTGGTTTACATGAATGAATTTGCTTTTACAATATTCACAGTCGCTCAGGAAAACATGCAGTGGGCTCAGAAAAAAGAAGAAAGCTCCATCTGTTTTTTTTCTCTCCCCCTGCCCTCCATCTGTTATCCTGAATCTTTAAAAATTGAGAAGCTAGCACTAACATCAATTACCAGACATTGCTGGACTTTTGGCAGCTGTTAACATTTTTCCAGAATTTAGAAAATAGAAATTTTCTTCTATTTTAAATTTAAAGAGACTCTTTTGTGCAAAAATATCCCTTTGACTAAATCATGTGAGAGAGTTGAAGATCACATTGCTGAAACAGTCTAAATAGTTTACATTAGATGTATATTTCTATAAGCAACCACCATCTCTTCAGTGGCAGTCATAACAAGAGAGTTATTTTATATTTCATTTCTGACATACCATATGCATATGTGACAAGTACTAGCACTTCACTTGAATAAAAACTGCACGTACTACATTAAAAACTCTGAACTATGAAGGATAGGAGAAAGTTATGAAGCGAACAAATAGCATACAGAGCTATCACAAAGTGAAATAGTACTATGATCCTATTAAATGTTTTACCAGTCACACCTTTTATTATCAGATAAATTATAATTTATTATTTTTATTCTGCCAAGTATCAGAGTCATAACAGTTTACACTAAAAAAATATAAAATTAGAGTTTAAAAAGGCAAACTAAACTTTAAATTTAAGCTGGAAAAGCTTAACTCTGTTGCTGCTGCATGAGCTCTCATGTGACCTCCAGGTGGTGGTGGAGCATACAAAAGATGCTATACTCTCTATTAATCCAGACTTAAAGTACAGATCTAAAACCAAGATCTAAAATTAATACCCAACTCTGAGTATTTTGTCTAGAAACAAATTTACTAATAAAAAGAGTGAAAAATATTCCAGAGCCCTTCGCTCCCTGAAACTTATTGGAAAAGGTATATTTTGGTGAAACTTGGGTTTAAAATAAAAGGCAGAATAAGCAGATCTCTTTTTACTGTGATTTTCCAAACTAATATATGCAATTTGTTTTTTCATGTGGGGCAATTGTTTAAAATGGAAAAGTGTCTAGCCTCTCGATATCTGCATTTTAAGTATGTCAGTCTAATAAATTAGGATAGAGAATTTGAAATGTCAAATTAGCATTCAAAACTGAAAGGTATATGTGCATTATATTGACAAAAATGCTTTTTAACTTCCACATGTCCAGAATAATATATCAGGATTTGAACAATGGTACTGTATGAAGCTCTGTGGCAAAAAATGGAACCTGAAGCAGGTTTTGGGGTAAAAATAAAATAAAACCAACTACAGAAATAATGAGCATGGAAATCATGGAACTCTATCATATTTTACCACAGTTAAAAGCAAATTTTGCTTACATTTAAATTGTAAAAAATGTTTTGTATATATACCTTCATGCCCCAAAAGTAAAAGACACTATATTCTTAAGATAACTTTAAGAAGTGGTATTTCAGGATAACACTGGGGTCAAGTGATAAGAACACAATATTAATTGGATATATTTTAAATAGAAATGTGCTATTTATTTCCTGTACCATCAACCATCAGAATTAAGGTTCAGTATGGTATTACTTACTGGGATCTAGACAGTACCTGGATGAGAAAACAGCTAAATCTGTATGCATTCCACTTTTACTTACAAAGTATAAAAAGTATTATGTTACAGTTCTTACAGTGCACTTTCCATATCTGCTGTACTTTCTTCCATTTTCTGTTACTATGTAGAGGTAAATGAAGTTGTCGTGAGAACCCACTGCAAGAAAGGTGCCATCTGTAATGCAAGTTAAAAACAAAGTATAATTGGACAGTGCAAAACTCTCTAGCATATCATGTATGAAAAGGTTGTAGATAATAACAACATAAATAAACGTAATCCAAAGCATGTACTTTATTTCACCTATTGAAAGAAAATGATAAGCATTCAGAATATTTTAATTTTCATATAAGACTGTTAACTATTAAGGGTCTTGATAATTATGTACCATCAGTGTTATTTTTAGCAACCACATAGGTTTTCTCCATGACAATTTGTCCCAAATCTGACCCCATCAACATTGTAACTGAGTTCATCCATCCTACTGCTTATTATATTCTACTCTTTCCTTTTACTTTCCCCTGAATTACAGACTTCTTCAGACAGCTAGATTTTTCATGATATGTCATAAGTATAATTATTTCAACTTAGCCACTTGTGCCTTGAGTATAATCTTCTAATTGTATTCTTAAGAGTCTTCTACAACACCTAATCTCAAAAGCATAAAAACCCATTATATCCTGCTTCTTCAAGTTCAGAATTGGCTGTAGAGAATGCTCTATCAAAGGAAAGTCATAGAGAAAACTGAGAACTTATATAAATTAAGTTCCACTTATAGAATTATTTCTGCCTAAGTTTTCAGTATCTCTAGTCTTTGGCCAAATTCTTTTTGTGTTGTGTCATTCAATTCCATATCAAATTGACCAAAGTAGGATATCAATGGTTTTCTTCTGGTAGACTCTCAAGATGCAATTTGCAAATTAGCCACAAATATCTTCATGACTTAAAAATAAAATAAGAATGACCCCAAAATTAAATTTATAATGTGCAAGAATTGTTTACAGAGCTACTGAATGGCTTTTAGTAGTAAAAATAAAATTTGCATTTGCCCAATCAGAGATATGTATTAATGATGGTTTCCTATCAACTTGTATAAGCCTGTTCACTCAATCGAACATCAACTCAGTAATATATTATATGGGATTGGAATATTTCAAATATCATATTTTCCTATATAAATCTGTTTCTCCATTAAGATCATCTAGCAAAACGTATTTTAATTTCTTCTAAAACAGGGAAAACCCAAAATAGAGACTGGAACATTTCTGTGATTAAACTAAGTTTCTGTTCACATTTCACTATATTCACATTTGACACACTTAGCTTGAACAGTTTTCTGAAGTGCCTGCAAATGATAATTAGTTCAAAAACAATATGAAACACAGCTTAATTAAACTCTCAGTGGCTCTTTAAAAGTATCCTATTCAGACAAAAAGACTCCATTTCCCCCTACAAAGGCAGAACATCTTAAAAAGCTTTAATGTAATTGCCCTAGCAATGCTGCCTATGTGATAAGACAATTTGTTTAACAAGAAATGGTTATGGTTAGAAGTAGGCTCCCTGAAACCAAGAAAGCAAAGTTAAACGTATTTTGTTTTGTACATGGCTGGATTTGTATATGGCTCTTTTGTACATGGCTAGATTGATTCTGGATCATTCTGGTTTCTAGCAAAATAAAATTGGGAATCTTTTGGTTGTTCTAGATTTCAGCCAGGTTCTTGATGGTCTTTTCTCCTCTGCTTCGCAGTGCATTAGCCCACCTGTCAATTGTCCCAATGCTCTTCTTTCTTCCTCCTTTACAGTTAATGTGCTTGAATTCAAGCACGGCATAACACTGTCAGCCCTTCCCTACTTGCCTTCTTCTTCCCTATTGACATCATCTATTATCTTTTTAAGCATTTTCTCTCACCCTTCAGCATTTGTGTTCCAAGTTGGAGAATTAAGTGCCAACTTCAATCAGAAAAAAGTCCACTTTTTGAACTGCTGCCAGGGCTTTTATCTGCCAGGATGCTATTTTCTATATGAATTTGCATCACTACTTCCTCTATTAAGTTACTATTTAGTAAGGTAAGCTGGCAAACAATACTGTTGATTCAGGTGAAGTAAATCCAAATTCAAACAAAAAACCACTGTTCCATATTGCTTTACTTACTTTATTAAGTTATCATTTTTCAATGTGGGAAAATAATTTCAGTGGTTAACATAAATTTGTTCTTACTTATAGATATATTATTTACTTAGCATATAGTATACATACATAGAATTCTAATAGATATAACATTTCCCTAAGATTTAAAAAAACACAATAAAATATGAATGTTAAAAAGATCTATATTTAGATACAATGTTGTTCTTACTTAAAACACTCAATTTAGAATAGGTGACATGTATGAAGAAATGAACAAAAGGTTCAAATGTATTACAGTTCTCCATACCTACTGTGTAGCGCATCACAGAAAGCTGCTCGTTGCCATCTGTATGGATTGAAACCAAATCTCTTGTTTCAGCATCCAAAACAAACCACCTGTGAAGGAGAAATAGAAATGTTCTTCACAAGGTTACTGTGAATTTTATAAAATGACGTAACTGGTTTGACTTCTGGTTAAATGTTGCCCTAATAATAAATCAATAAGTATGTTTTTGTTCACAATCATTTCCAAGACAGTCTCAATATCTAAAAATGGGGCATATGGTATGTATTATTAAATAACCTCTTCTTGGGTCATAGGTCCCACTTTTTATTTTAATATTTGTTTCCATAAAAATAAGACAGGGTTTTATTTTCTCTTGACCCCTGAAATAAGCACTTGGCTGTATTTTCAGGGAAGTCTTATTATTTTTGAGGTGTAGGAGGTGGCAAGTGTGGTCACCTCATGGCTGCTGCTCTGTTACAATATTTTCAGGAGGTGGGTTATTTTCAGGGGAGGGCTTATTTTAGCACAAATGATCAAAAACCTGATTGGGCTTATTATCCGGGGAGGTCTTATTTTTGGGAACACAGGATATTTGCTATTATTTTGCATCCAAAGACTGCAAAAGTTAAAACTGGTAATGTATCCAGATAAGGTTAGGCACTTTGGGATGACTAAAATGCACAACAGGCCCATTAACCATTAAAAAAACCACTCACTTTAATAACAATATGTAAGGTTGCCTCTGAATTTCAATGACTGTACTGGCAAATTGAAAAAATGGGCTTGGAACTTGGGGCCTGTGGATTGCCAATCCCTGGCACATAAGATCTGTGATTTTAAGCATATGCTTAATTTAATGTTATTTAATGTTTGTACATAAGATTTATTTAACCTAACCAAATGAGGGCATCATCATCATCAAGCAACATGAGCCCCACTGAGGACAACTAAGTACTAAGTACTGGGAATTAATAAGAACAGCATCAATGTCTTGAAGTACCAACGTCTTAAAGGTGCTCCTCTTCTTTATCTGTCTGCACTAGGGATTCAGTACTACAGAATAGCTTTGAGACCAGATATTAGAATCACATTTAAAACATCACAACATAAACAGTTATCAGGAATAAGAAATGTTCCTCACAAATACCTCCTGCATCTCAGAACAATTTTAGTCACATCTGTTAAGAGTCGATTTATTAGCACAACATGGTGGGGAAGTTTTATATAGCTTTTCTCTGGAACTTCTATGAATTTCATGTTACAGTAGCTGCTGATATAATACAAAAAGTACAATCCTAAACTGATTTCATGGGTAGTTTAAGAACCACAATCAGCTGCATTCTAGACTCTCTGAAATAAACCAACTTATTTGCTGAACTTTTTGTACAGGGTCTGCAGCCAAAGATTCAGTAGCATTTAAAATCTAGCATGCCTATATAACAATCTTTCTAATTAGATTGTTCAAATGGCTACTCAAACACAAACATTTCTAAATAAGAAAAAGCCTGAACCAAAGGTTATGACTCTTAAATGAGTTGACTGCAAAGTTCCCACTACCACTAGCAAGGAAAATAAAATAAATTCCATCTGGTAAAGAGTATATTGCTGCCCCTAATATAGCAGCCAGATATAGCAACAGGCACCAACATATGACCAACAAACCTTTAACTCATTTTTTCCTGTGAAATACCCTCTAGCTTATCTCCAGAACCTTCGTTATTTCTGTGGAAATCTTGGCTACTGGTAAAAATATTGTGAATGTATTTTAACAGGACAGCACAGATATAATAGTATCTCAGCTACCCTTATCTCTCTTTCTGGCTCTGAATCCTTTGTTGATAACATAGCAGGAGGAGAAATATCCTTCGTATTTTAGATAGTGCTTCTTATTCTACTGTCACAACTTCAACATTTTCAAAAATATTTTGTCTTTCCCCTCTGAAATTTCCAATCAGTCTGTCTCTGAGCCATTCATTATCATTATAGAATTTATTTCTATTCTCCCAAGTCTCTCTTCTTAGATCTCCTTGGAAGAGATGCAAATTAGGAGGCACTGTATTTGCACACTCGATGGAAGGTATTTACATATCACATATCTTTCAGCATCATAAAAAAGCAATGGTGGTACTGGCAATGGCTCCTGGAAGAAAAGCCAGCCTGATATGATAATCAAGTTTCAAAGAATTTGTGCACAAAGTATTCTAATGAGGACTTCAGCCCTTCCTGTGAAGATTCAAACTGACTCAGCAAAACAGCTGTTCAGAAAAATGCAACCTCCCTTACTCCCAGAAGCTGAGAAAGGAATCAAACTAGTAACTGAAGCACCCTTGGAACAGGGCATTATAATACTTACTAGAAACTAATATTCCATATCATATTCTTTTAAAAAGTATGTGGGGGGAGCATTATGTGGTAATAGCCCTTTTTGCAAGAGATAGAATGATAAAGTTGTGATTCTTTCCTTTCTAGTGGTTCCAAGTCCTAGTCTGCATCCCTCCACACATGTTTCTCATTATTTCCAGTTGTTGACCTCTTTATTTTTTTATTTTTGCTCATTTTGATTTTACTTACATGGGTGCCAGTATATATGTACAAATTAACCCAGGAGTACACTAAATATGTTTCTTCTCTCGAAATGTACATGATAATCTGATTCTTGCTTTGCCTCTTTCTGATTCTTGCCTCTTAAAACTGCCCTTATCTATTCCCATAGCAAGAAGTACACACATTCCTAGGAATAGATTTTACACCTCAAAAAGTTACCCAAATTCTTATATATTCTTCTGAAAGATTATGTTGCCATTTTTCATCTGAAGTTGCAGACTTCTCTTTTCAGGCTTCAAAATGTGTTATTATTTCTATTAATACTGTAGGAATTCCTAACTATTCTAAAGCCTTTTATCTTCTGCCAATAAGCGGCTTTGCTCAATCTATTTCAACACAGAACTATGGTGAAAACAGATGGTTGTCTTGCAAAAGCAAAGCACTAGTTCCTATTGCTGCCGCTTCCCCCCACCATGCCTATCCACATCAGTGGCTGCTACTTATTCTGAGGAACTTTTAGCATCCTTTGTCTTGGATCATTAGTTTTTTTTTTTTGCTGTACCACATTTTCTGGTATTTATTATCTATCTGTTTTTAGCTTGTTATCTACTTTTCTTGTTGTGAAATGGGAAGCTGCATAATTTTGATACATAGATGATAAATAAAAAGAACTAATATTTTTGCCTAGGTTTCAAACGTGCCAGTATTTGCATGCCACACATTCATCATTTGCCTGTCCCTCCCCAAATGCCCATGTGATAGAGGCAAATTAAGTAAAAAAAAAAAATACTATATTGAAATCCTTTACAAATTGGGTTACAGGTGACAGAAGCATTTGCAGGAAGAGATATTGAAGAAATGCTCCCCAAAAAGTGAGTTTCCATAGGTAAATTGGCCAGCTGTTTAACAGAAAAGAGAGCAATGCCAAATGAGCAGACAAATTTTAAGAAGATTACAGACATGAGATCACATAGCTAACACAGGATATATATTGCAGAGACTAAGAAAATTTAAGATTTATTTCTGCTCAACTGATACAAGGACTTTGTTGTTATTTATCCAATTTATATGCTGCTCATCTCACAGTGCAATTGTAGTTATTATGCCAAATGTGCAATACATTAAAACTAATAGATAGGTATGCCAAAACTTTGATTACTCTTCTTAGGAATCAGCAGGAATTATAAAAAGAATTGAATTAGGAGAAACTGAGTGGTTCAAAATAGAGAAGTAAGTGAAAGAAGAATTTATATTGTCTTGATAGCTTATAGTGTGAATATACTTAATGATAAAATAGGAAGATAAAACAGCTGGATTTCATTAAGACAGGCTGAAGCCCTATCAATTTGAGGATGATAGCCAGATGATTAATTTCAGGGTAGGCACTTTGCTAAAGAGATTTATGGAAATAAAAACTGAAAGAGGAAATTCTGGGTTAATGTTAAAAATAAAGACAACCAACCAGCAAAATTCACAGTCGTTGGCAAAGAAATTAAAACGAAAGATAATTTTTCCTTCTTGGGACAATGGGCAGCAAAAGTGATTAATTTTTGGAAATATGACAGTGCTATTCTTAGACATTATGAAAGATAAGGACATTTCTTTGACAAGTATCAGAATAGATTAAATAATTGTCTTTTCAGTGATGGTATATGGCTGTGAAAAGTGCTTATTGAGAAGAATAAAAGGAAATTAGACAGACATCTTCATATTATAAATCTGGAGATGGTTACTAAAATTACCACAGACTACAAGAAGAACCAATAAATCAGTCTTGGAGAAAATAAAATTCATTGTTCCATAGGAAGAATTTTAAGCATTCCTCTGGACAATTGATAGCAGTGGATGATGCACTAGCAAATGATAATATTTAGGAAGGTTAAGGAATGTAAAAGAAAAAGGTGGTTGGTACATGGGAATTTTATTGGAAGAACTGCAGATTATTTGTGGGTAAGAGTGATAGTTGAGTTTTGGTCTATGAAATCACTAGGGGCAAATCCCAACTCAATGGCACTTCAGTAGTACATTCAGGAACAAGTAAATGTAAAATTTATCAGTTCCAACTTACAAACAGGGCTCTGCAGTGAGCCAGGTTTTTTGATGAACAAGATTTGAATGGATGTACATGTAGTTGTATCTACTGGGAACATTTTAAAGCATTTTCCTAGAATCTCAGAGTTCTCAGAATATGCCAGAGGGCCGACACAAACTTCCCAAATAAAATTTTGCTCTTCAGACCAGATTTCTAAGTTGCTTTAGTAACAAGAAGAATATGTTTGCTACATTGTGAATCCAAGCTGGTACTAAAAAAGAAAAATCCACAGAGAAAAAAAAATACTTTATTTATATTCTTATGGATGAATTTCTTGCACAAAGACAACTATTGTGACCCTAGCTACCCCAAATGGGATTTTAAATAACTATGAGTGGGCTGGGTGGGTGGGTTTCACTATTTTTTGTACTGTGGGAATTAAAAAGTACACCTAAACAATGTCAGATAATGAAATTCCACTTTTCTTAGGCCTATGGCATTATTCATCAACACCACTGCAAATATATAATCATGTGAAATACTAAAATCACAGCAAACCATTTTAAGTCCATCTTTCAGAAGCCACTTATTTAAAAAAAAAAACCAAATCTGAAATCCTAAAAACCAGGTACCTATCTTTCACCACTGACAATACTATTTAAGTTTCTAAAAATTGTTACAAAGTGCAGCATTCCCTAACCTTTCTGGGTTGGTGACCGGCAGGGGGATGATTTTGTGTGAGCAGTAGATACATGCCTATGCACAGGTTCATTAGTGTGAGTGGTGGGTGCATGTGCTTGGCCCTTGCCTGAGTGGGGCTGTTGAGTGCCAGTGTCCACAGTGGGATATGGTCCACAGGTTGGGAACCTGACTTAGTGATATCGGAAGAATAGGCTCTTTGTCTCATAACTTGATGACATTATGATACAATCCACTCATTCCAGCTAAGCAGGCTTGAATATGGACAATGTCTGAATGGATAATTACCCATGATTCCCATAACCTGCTTTCAATTCCACAATGGAAGACACTTGAGCAAATATGGTAACTAAATTAAAGGCAACAACAGTAAATCAATATCAAACATGGAACAGTTTCCAGAGGATTATATTTGCTTTTGCCTAAAGAAAAGCATTACAACATTTTTACCTTCCTGAGTGTGTTCCTATCGCTACCACTGTACCACTTGGATGGAAGTCAGCACAATGTCCTGGTTCCTGAAAGACACATGTTGATCTTATGATGTAAGTTTAAATTGAATAATATTTACACAGGCAATTATTCACTGGTCTGTCCCACCTGGATTAAGAGAAGTAAATAGGAGCAAATTCCACAGTTCCAGTTTATGAAGCTATATGCTTTGAAATTACTCCACATATGTGAAGCATATGTGGCCCATTATACTATACTGATTTTAATCTCAAGAGCTTAAACTAAATTTATAGCTATGCAATCAGAAGATCACATCAAAATTTACTGAAACTAATTTAGGGATCAATGCCAAGGCATCTACGCATGATTTTAATGCCATGGTTTTACCTAATAATTTAGCAAAACATTGCCATTCATCTCCAGTTTAAATAACTGATTACTCTAAGACAGTGTTTTTCAACCACTGTGCCGCGGCACACTAGTGTGCCGTGACATAGTGTAGTGTGCGCCGTGGGAAAAACACCCGCCGGGTGTTTTTGCCTCGGCCGCGCACGTGGCAAGAAAACACCGCGCAGCCGTTTCAAACTGCGCGCAGTGATTTCTGCCACAGGCTCCCGAAGCTGAGGGGAATAGCTGCTGCTGCCTCCTCCTCCTCCAACAGCACTGCCGGATTTGCTGCCCAGCGCTGCAGCCGAGGTGAAACCTCCAAAGCTCCCGCAGGCGCCCCCGCCCATGGCAGCGGCGGCAGTGCCATGGGCGGGGGCGCCTGCGGGAACTTTGGAGGCTTCACCTCGACTGCAGCGCTGGGCAGCAAATATGTTGGTGCTGTTGGAGGAGGAGGAGGCGGCGGCAGCAGCTATTCTAGTGGCGGCGGGGGCTCGTTGGCATCTTCAGCGGCAGCCCTGCCCCCTGTGAAAAAAACCGAAGATAGAGCAGATCCACGCAGATGACGTTGCTGCAACATGACTGGAGGAGGAATTCTGGGAGTTGAAGTCCACAAGGCTTAAAGCTATCAGGTTTGAAGACCCCTGGGGTTTTTTTTCCTAAAGGGTGTGCAAAGGTCTTGTAACTTGATAGCTTTAAGACTTGCATGCTTCAATGCCAGAGTTCCTGAGCCAACATGACTGGAGGAGGAATTCTGGGAGTTGAAGTCCACAAGGCTTAAAGCTATCAGGTTTGAAGACCCCTGGGGTTTTTTTCCCTAAAGGGTTAGGGGTGAAAAGGTCTTGTAACTTGACAGCTTTAAGACTTGCATGCTTCAATGCCAGAGTTCCTGAGCCAACATTTTGGTTGCTAAGCAGGACCGTTGTTAAGTGATACTGATATTATATAACACTTTTAATTAAGCGGGTACCTTGAATAAACATAACTTTGAGTTTCAAATAATACTGATTTCGTTGTTGTCTTAGGTGAAATCTGTGAAAAAAATTCAGGTGCTCAGGCATGAAAATATGCCGCTGAAACACTATACTTTTCTGCTCACACTGAAAAAAAATTAGAGGGAACATTGTCTGTGTCCCGGAAGTTGCTTTCGGGACACAGGGATGCCTCTATTAAGTCCCTGCGGCCCCGCGTTTACTTTAAAAATGCGGGGACCGCCGGGAGGTAGTGCACACAGGGACGTCACTGACGTCCCATGCGTGCACCCATAGCAACAATCACGGAGGATTCAAGAGAATTACTTTATATATAGTCAATATAGGCACAGAGTTAATTTTTTTTAAACATTTTCAAATGGTGGTGTGCCTCGTGATTTTTTTCATGAAAAAAGTGTGCCTTTGCACAAAAAAGGTTGAAAAACACTGCTCTAAGAGACATTTTGCATCATTGTAGGATCATTGTCAGCAAGTTTTTCCAGCTAGGCCAGAATTATTCACCCACCACCCCTGTGGTTTTTCAAGAATAAATTGTGGACATCCCTCACTGCTAAATCTTTTTAATTTAAGATTCCGAAGAATGACCTTCCATGCAAAGCTTTTCTGACTTATAGACCAGAGATGGGCAAACTTTTACAGCCTGCAGCTGCATTTAATACTTTTTTTCTGTTCCAAAAACTGCAGTGACATGGTAATGATGCAGTGAGGTTAAGGAGGAAGAGGACATTTTCAGCTCTTCACTTTCTATCTATGTATTTTGTATCTATGCAAAATAAGATACATTAAATCAAAGCTTTTTTAAAAAAATGGAAATGATGCTGTTGTTGAAAAAATAAAGCCTACTGTTTGATTTTTTTTTCTTAACATGTAATCGTTACTTTAAAAACACAGCATAAAAACGCCCAGTATTCTCACAAAGGATGAGGCACATACATCTAGTAGCCTGGTCCATTCAAGAGTGTGGTCCACTGAATTCCACATACAAACTTGACGATCTTGAGCACAAGTTAAAAACAGGTCTTTGAACGGATGTGTTCCCAGGCCCCAGAGTTCATCTGTGTGGCCCTAAAAACACAAAGTTAATGAATGGACATATATCCATTATTAGATAGCAAACAAAACTGATCAAATATCTATAAATTCAAAGAGAAGAAAGGGATATACCTGCACTTCCACTTGAAAACCATCATTAAATGTTCCACGCAAAATAAAATTTCTTGATGTCCCAAGAATAAATTGATCAGCTTTGCCTTCTGCTACAGCTCTTATTGTCCCATACTGATCAGGAACCTGTGGAAATCATATTTCCTTGAAATCCATTTTATACATTACAAAGCATAATAATACTCTAAAATACTGAAGGTCACAATCATCTTTCTTTGTGCAAACAAATCTCAAATAGATTCAATGTTTCTTTTCTAACTTTTCTTATTTTAATCTCTTTCCTTCTCCTTTCAAAGACATGTGGTGTATATTACATGATTTGAGTGATAAATATGCATTTTTAAAAAAATAATAATGTTTTGACATTGTTGTTCTTTTCCTGTTACAATCCCTGTTTCCAATCCAGTCTTCTTTCAGGGAAGATGGAACTTAGTTTCAAATTTCACTACTTCAAGCACAAAATAATGCTAATTATCACTGCAGCTAGTAAAAGCTTCCTAACTAGCTGACTACATATATCAAATTGGTGTCTTACTAATTTTATTGACCACCTTTTTAAAAACCTGTTTTGAAATTATTTCCTTTTCCTTTTAATTGCTATTAAAAAGACCTACTACTATCACTGTAAAAAAGACCTGTGTTTTTGCTAAATTCAAAGTAAAACACCTTTAATATACAATATCTAAGAGTTATCAATTTCAAATGAGGGGATTTTCAAAAATGATGTCCTGCACTATTTAGAATTTTGAAGTATGATTTTATTTTTCTTAACATGTCTATGTTCTATTTTACTATTTGTAAACTATGTCATTATAATAATTGGGTTTTATTGTGGGTTTTTTTTTGCTTGCTCTCACAACTTGTTTTTATTTTGTTTTTTGAGTTGGACAATAACTGTAACAAATCATAAGAGATATTTCCATACAGACTAAAAAACTTCAAACAAATCCATATTGTTTGTTTGCTCTCTATATAGGTAAAATGTCAAGTTACTATACCTAATAAATTACCTAATTTCATTACCTAAAATCAATGCAAAAGAGCACAACTCTATTAACTGTATTGTGTCCTATATGTAAGTTAATACTGAAAGCAATATTTTCCTATACCAATGAGATGGCAATTTATCCCAGATTCCTGCAGAAGAGGAATCTTCTAATCTTCACCTACAAAGAGAAAAAAACAAGCAATATGGATTTACTTGAAGTCTTGCAATCTGTATAAAGCTACCAGTATATTAGCTATATTTAACAATTTTTTTATCAGTGAATTAGTATTTTATGCAGATTTTTGTGCATTTGGTTTCATGCAGCTAAATAAGTTTGTTTACATATAGTTTTTTTCATTTATTTTTAATTTAGCTGTTCCTGATTTTTTAAGTTTTTGAAATTTATTCTTGAATTTTAAACTGATCTGGAATTCTTCTTGGTTGAAAGATAACTCAGAAATGCTTGTGCAAATAAATACTATGTTAATTGTGCAAAGAAGATTAGGAGATAGGAGATAAATTTACAAAGACACAAAATGAAAATAGTTGCCATGATTATAACTATAACCTGAACTTTTAGCTTAACGGGCTTAATAAGAATACTATGAAGAGAGGAGAGTAATCTTCTAAGGTTTTTTTAGCTTCTCTGAAGGAGAACAGAATAAAAATCAATACTGTAATTACATCAATAATAGAAATTGATGGAATGGTACTTTTGTAATCTTAATTAGTGTCAGCTCCCTTCATCACAACTCAAAAGTACAGTTTCCAATTATTTGTTCAACAGTTATTTTTCTTACCTCTATTTCCCTTTCAGCATTCAAGTCATGATCCCACAAAATGATTTTTCTATCCTTCCCACCTCCAGTTAGCAGCATTCCATTCCTCATTTGGCAGAGTGTGAACACACTGCCATCATGAGCTTTGATTTGTTTGCTGATTTGATACACACCTGTAATCATGTAAGAAACAGTACAGTGCCAATACAGTGTATTTGCCAACTAGTTTAAAAGGTAATTTAGAGAGATAAGAAATAATTAATGCTATATGTATCAATGAGGAGATGTTTGAAGGAGGGTAGAATTTCAAGTTGAAAGGCAGCACTTCTTCTGGTCAAACTATACCTGAATAGTTATAACTGCTACATGATAGACTCCTTACATTAAAAATTAATTTGATGATTAATTTTTAATAGAAAGAGAAAGAATCAGGAAGGTTCATGGATAGATGTACATGTGTAAATTAAAAAAAAAAGAAAAAGAAAATTGAGCTACTGATGCCTACTTCTGTTGTAAAAAAATCTAGAGAAAGTTTTTAAAAATGTGACATTTCTTCTGGACTGGGGGGGGGGGCTTTAATACATTTTAATAAATAACAATAATAACAGTGACATGCTCAAATTACTTAAGGAAAACATAAAAAACATAGTTGAATGTTTCTGATTACTAAAAGATGGACCCAAGAGGAATTTACCCTTTTTAGGTAAAAGGCAGCCCCTGATCTTAACTTGTAAAAGATACCCCACCCAATAGCTGCAAGCACTAACTAGTGAGAGGGTACCCCATCATCTTCATTGTTAATTCAACTCAACAAAACATAATAATAATAGCCAACTGCAAGAATAAAAAGAAATGGAAGAACAATACCCAATAATTAATAAACCACAGGGAAGTATTTAGAAAATTTATCCATGGTCATTTTAGTTGTCTGCACTGGTTTTGCTCTCTTCTACATGGGGACTATAAGGTCTTTCTGTGATCAAAAATATACTTCATGCTAAATTCAACTATATTCTTAGTCACTAAAAAAGGAACCAATAGGAAAGGGATAAATTGTTGTTCAGTCTCTAAGTTGTGCCTGATTCTTTGTGGCCCCATGAATCACGGCACATCAGGTTCCCCCTCCATCTTCCATTCTCTTTGGGAGTCCACCCAAATTCATGTTCATTGCATCAATGTACCCTGCCATCAGAGCTCTATTGCTGATGATGCTGTGTGGTGCTTTGCTCTTTGAGTCATCGGAATATTGCAGGAGTTGGTGTTACCTAATTACTAGTCTAGGTGTGTGTATGTGTGTGTGTAGAAGTTCTCAGTTTGGCTTTAATGTACTCAAGGTTGATGTCAATGCTGCAGCTCACCACTTCCGGTCAGGAATGGTGCTTAGTTTCTGCTATCTCTGGAGGAATTTGCTCCATAGATCAAGTAAAGTCTGAAAAGGGAGAGAAGAGACTTTCTCTACAACATAGGATTAAGTTAAGTAAATCTTTATTACAGTCAAAGACCAGCAATACACATTAGTTTTTACACTATGTTAAAAAGTACTGACATTAAGATATAATTAAAAGGTATTGATGTTAAAAGTGGAGTATTTTTGTACTAAATGGTGGAGTACCAAGATATGATCCACCGTAGATCTTCCTTCTCTAAAACCGGCTTGTTCGTCTTTGATTATCCCCCCCCTGAAATTAGCCAATCTTGAAGTTTATAATTTAGGTGTTTGTCATACAGTTTACTAACAACGCTTAGAAGACTAAAGGGGCTATAATTGCCTGGGTCATTTCTATTACCTTTTTTATAAATTGGTATGATAATTGCTACTCCCCAATCTCTAGGCATACAGCTTGTTTTATGTATAAATGTAAACAGTGATGCTAAAAGTAGAGCCCACCAACTGGCGTTCTTTTTGATTATTATTGGCAGGACATTATCAGCCCCGGGTGCCTTATTAGCCATTAGGGCTCCAATCAACCGTGATATCTCTTCTGGTGTAATAGGGGTCCAGTAAGGAGTTTGGTCCAAACTAGCTTGGCTCTCCTTGGTTACATAGTCAGAATCTGTATAAAGCTCCCTAAAATACTCTTCCCAGGTATGAATTGGAACCTGATTTGTTGGGGGTAGGGGAGGTTTTCTCAATCCCCTGGTGATGTACCAAAAAAAGGATGCATTTTTTTGTCCTGACTGCCGTAATTAGTCTATGCCAAGACTTCTTCAGAGCCACACTTTTCTTTTCTTTTAGAAGGTTCTTATATTGTGCTTTCAGCTGCTTTAAGTAGTAAGTGTAATCCTCAAAGGGGGCACTTTTACTTTTCTTGTATTCCATATTATATATCCTTTTTGTTGCATACAATCTCTATTGAACCATTTTTTGTTCTAGTAGAGATGTACGTAGCTCTATGGTTTCAGGGTTACCATTTGGTAACTTCCTTAGTGTTCTTCTCGTTCCATTTAATTTTTACCTGGGTATTTTGAGTCTCTACACTGGATAGGTAGGCTGTGCCTGCCCTTAGAGATTTCTGGTGCAATGTGAGAGTAAGGAGTATTGTATTATGATTGCTTTCCAGTCACAAGTCTACCTCCATTTTCTGTAAGAACTTCAGGAGGTCATATGATATTATCCAGTAATCAACTGTGGATTTTCTTCCTGCTCCCCGATAAGTCTATTCTGCTGGAAAGTCGCCCCATGGGGACCCGTTAAGGATACAAAGATACAAATGTACAGTCATTTGTCTTACACACAAACCTGCCTGATTAGCTTTAGGGTCTTTAAATTGTCTGGAATGCAAAGATTGTCCTGCTACATTTTCATCATAGTGAATCTTAAAATGATTAAATAATGCTTGATCATTTGGTCCCATTCTAGTGTTAAGCCCTCCCCCTCCCACCTATAATTATTGCAGCTTTGGGGAATTTGACTATACTGTCAAGAATAAAATCTTCTATGCTGTCCCAAATCTTGTTAATCACATTATTCTTATTAAGTGGAGAAATATAGATTTTAAAAAGCAAAATCTCCACCTGTTTAAATAAGAGTAATGTAGTTACAACCCATGGCTGGAAAGGTAGCAGTGGTACACATTTAAATTGCTAGGATGTATTAACTAATGTCACAATACCATCTTTAGCTCTCTCTCCCCCCCACTTTGCTTGGGACAGCTGGGATTGAGTTAACCCAATAGCCATCTAACTGAATCTCTGTGGAGGCCCAGGTTTCCTGCAAGAAGAGGATGTCAAATTGTGATATATAGTCAAAAAAGAGTTGGTCTTTTGATTGAACAGACCAACCTGCTATGTTCCAGGTTATAAGGGAAAGTGGGTCAACTTTTGCAGCTCATCAGGAAACTTGATTTATGCAAAGGGAAATTGTCTGGTTGTTACCATGGATTGAGGTGTCATCGCACACCGAATTGGCCTTCTTTAAAAATAGGAAGGACCCATCTCTACAACATAGAAAGATATTTGTGTCCTGCCCTCTATGGAAGAGATGGAGTTTAACTTCTTGCTGTTAGAACCCTTAGTGCCTTTTCACATATATTCACTTCCTTCAAGCCTATGTACTTGAAAAGAAAAGGAACTGAAGTTTTATAGCCACAAATTATTACTGTCTTTTATAGTATCCATAGAAGCCAATTTAAAGTTTCAGATTTTGGACACACTTACTTTATAGCTAATTTAACAGCCATATTAACTTTGGATTTGAGTCCCTAACCATATACTATTAACCAAATTTGATTAAAATAAATATTTGGTCTGAATTAACTCAAATTTCCTTTTCAGTGTTCACATCTAACAAACTTTAAATTTTAATATCTGTATAAAACCATCAACAAATGTGATGGTTTAACTGCAATTAAGTGTGAGCTACAAAAAGAATTAGTACATAAAGGCTTTGCATGTAATGTTTTGTATAAATATTTATATTTAGAAACTTCTGAATAACATTATTAAACTTTAAGATTAATACTTAAAATGTCATTTACCAGTCATAGTAAATCAGTTATCATCCATTCTAAACACAAATTAAAAAGCAAATGTAGGCTTAACTTCAAAATTTGGTATAAAAATCCAAGTGCAAAATGGATACTTCATTTAGATATATGCAGTTTTTTTCTAGATATATGAAGTGAGACATACTTTGAACCAAATCTTTATTAAAAGCATGGTAAATGCATAAAAAGGCCAACTCCACAAAATCTGGATCAATTTAAATATTGATGTTTTAATTATAACATATTTGCTGTATTTAGTAATTATTTGTTTTTCCATTATTATAATATTAAATGCACTATCAATGATATAATTATGATTTTACATTAATATTTTCTTTAGAATCAAAGTTCACTGAAAATATACACATGCAGTTAAAATGTCATGTACTGAAACTGTTTTTTCTGGCATGCTATATTTACAGCCCAGCACTTTAATTAACTGCCAAAGAAAATAATTATCTTTGGATTTAAGAACTACCTTAGAATTCAACAGTGACAGACATGCATTTTCCTGGTTGAAAATGAAATGTAACCTCTATAGGATATTAGCTTAAAAGTCAGAACATTATATTAAAACAAGGTTTGGTTTCAGTATTTGATGATTGGTTAGGTTAAGAATTGCTAAAATTCTGCATTATATTTTTCTTTTTCTTTCAAAAGTGTATTCATATCAAAATTAATATTTATAAATGAGAATATTTGTAGCTTGAAGTTGAAATGAAGAGTCTTTGCAAGCCAGTAGAATATAAACTGAGAGCAAATTCCACTCTTTCCTAGCACTGATGATGTTACCTACACTGGGTAATGAAACACTCGCATAAAAACTATCAAGCTTAGAAGAAACAGCATTCTATGAAAATATTTTATCCAATGTTACGACTCATATATTAAGTTAGAAACTCTGCATTGCTCATGCACATTTCCTGATCAGCTATAATAGCAAGTTATATAATTTGTTTTATATATATATTATGAATAGCCATATTGGAAAATACAATTAATCAAAGATCCAGT